TTGGTCTTTACGGATCAAATTTTTGGCATTACTCGATGTTTTCCGATTCAGATTATTTATTATTCGGACTCTACCACAGGATGATTTTGTGTTCACATCCGGTTCAGATCTTATGGTTTCACGAGTTTGGATTTGTGATATGTTGAAGACGAAGATTATTTTGGCAATGTGACGTGGCACTTATTTTTGGTCCTTGGATCAAATTTTCGACATTGCTGGACCATGTTTTTGGACTCACATTATTTTTATCCGGACTTCATTTTATGGATGCTTCACATTTTTAGCAGGTTATTCTTTGAAGAATTTCGGTGTATTTTGATTCGAGAACTTAAGATGTTTTTCAGACTTTTGAAGCCGAAGTGTTTCTTTTATTGGATCTTCTACTTGCTCATGGTGACCTTCTTCTTCCGGTGATTATGACTGGTTTGAAGATTTGGATCTTATTTTTTCTACTTCATTGGTTGTGCTTTGAAGCCGAAGACCTTCATTTCAGAGATTCATGACCAGTTTCAGACTGCACAGACACTTCAGAGTTTCAGAGACATTTCAGCACTTGATTGCATTTTATTACCACACTTGCTAGTCGGATTACTGTATTATAGCCTTGTATCACTTATTGGATCTCTCATCATTTGTAAGCATTTAGGGAGAGAATGTTGGTGCATGGAAATGCTCCACAAATAATGAGTGTTTATTAGGTTGTAATTTCCCTTTATTGTATTTTGTGGTGTAAATACTCTCCCTCCTATATAAAGGGAGAGTTGGTCATTTATTACTTTAGCTAGCTCATTTCTTTTCTTAGTAAGAGAACACACTTCTCACAATGTAATCTCTAGAGAGAGAGAAAGTTGGTGGGTTCTCCCACCCAGGGAGAGTTTCTCTCCCACCATGTTCTTCATGAAATATATTATTCTCTCTTTGTTCTTAGTCTTTTCTTATGAACTCATAATATGTTCTTCGTGTTCATACTTCGAAAAACACGATTAATCTCGAGATATCTTTCTTCCGCACTCACCGTTCTTTATAAAAATGGGTCTCTACAGCAAGCTTAAGATTGAATCATTAGAGAGAGAAGTTGTAATGGCTAAGGAGGAATTATGTAATTATTATGTGAATTATGTGTTTTATGCTTAATTATTAGGATTTAATTAATTCAGAATAAAAATAAGCGTCAAAAATAAATATTAGATAAACCCAATATCTATGAAGGAAGTTGTAGTGGTCATCACAAGGATTCCGGATATATAAAGAATACCGAAATCCAAGTTATAACGAAGAAGTTATGACCTGTCAAAGTTCCGTGACAAAACCGGCACGGCACCGAATGACATAAAAAGTGAGTTTTTGATAAACTACTTTTAGCCTTGGTGATCTAAATGAAAGTCGTAGTTTTCGTTAAACCGAGAGTATGCATAAAAAGAGCGACCAAATCTGACTTCGTATGAGGAAGTTATGATTTTTCTAAGTTTCAGCTTAGCAGTAGACAGCTAAAAAATCGAATTTTAGATCGAATGATTTTTAGCCGACACAACCTAAACGAGAATCGAAGGTCTCGTCAATAGTAGTACAACGGTAAAAAGACAGACGAAAACGGACGTCGGATGAAGAAGTTATGAATTTTTAACGGATTTTCATGTCCCGGTCTGTTAAAAATAATAATATTAAAATAAAATAAAAATTAGCCGACAAAGTCTAAACGAAAGTTGTAGAGCATAATTTTACCTACGCGTGCATATAAAGAACGTCAAAAACGGAGCCCGTATGCGAAAGTTTGGATTTTAGAAGTTCAGGACACAAAAATCAAGAAACATGCTAAAACCGAGGAATTTCGCGTGGCTCAACTTCGGCCACGTCACCCTCGCTCGCAGGCTGCCTCGTGTTCGTCACGTGCTCGTTGCTGATTCGACCGAAGGTGCGGCCCAGTAGGAACTCGACGCGCCTCGCACCGGTGCAGATCCGAAGCGAGCCACCTGCCCTCGCCTAGCATCCGACGTGCGTCCCTCCCCTCCGGATCCGAGCCTCGCATCTTCTGCCGCGTGGAGTCTTCTCAGCCGTAGATCTTTGGACTCACCCCTATAAATAGAAGGGTGCGAACCCTCCCGGTGATAATTTGGAAAATTGCCATATTTCACCCCTAAACCCATATTCCTTCCATTCCAACTTCCCCCAAAGCCCCGGTATCATACCAAACACCCGAAACACGTCCCGAAGAGCATGAGAAATTTATCTTTTCGGTTTTGAAGCCCAACCCTCGCAGATTCCGGTTTCTCAATAAAACTCCCGGTTTTATCATAAACGATTGTTTTAGGAAATGAAGTGCTGCCCGATTATCGTTAAATCAAGTGAGTGTGTAGTCACTTTCATCTTACACATAGATATGAAGTATTTTCTATAAAATACGTGCTATGTGTAATTATATTAAATGTTTATTTGAGGTGACTGTTGAATAGATGTTTTATAGAAGTTTTAAACTGTATATGTATTTTATCTACAAATATGTTGGGTAAAACATGGGTAGACGAAATAGTCTATGTGTGTTAAAATGATGAGAGGCCTCGATGTTGTTGTTGTTGTTGTTGTTGTTGTTGTTGTTGTAGTCGTCTAGCGGAGTATAGATGACGGCCACGGATCTTTCTAGACAGTCTAGTGTAACACTAGCAGGTTCGCAACTTGTAGGTGTTGGTGAACTATATGTTCATTGGTGTACTCCGTCCCCCTCATGGTTGCCTTTAGGACATGTATGGCTGAGGAGTCCCCTTAGCAGTAGTGTCCATCCTGATGATAATCCTTAGGCTAGGTCCCTTGTGATAGGTGTTTAGGGACGTAAAGTGAGGATAACGGGAATGGGTAATCAGGGTTATTATTGATTGATGAATCTAATAGATTTATTATTATTGTGGGTTGAAAACCCTATATACTCACCAGGCTCCCAAGCCTGACCCACTCAACTTTTTATATTACAGGTAGTGGACCCCGAGCATAGTCGGATGATGATGAGAGATTTTTGGATTATAGGCCAGTAATTGTAAATAACTGTTGTAAGGCTTATAATGTCTTGTTTATGATTTTGATTTGTATCGGAACATGACATCCCAAGGTTTTGATATAAAATGAAAAATATATATTTCTTTAAGGAAGGTTTTGATAAATTTTTATCATGTTTTGTTTTGGGAACAAATTCCACAACATCTTTTAAAAGGATTACTCTGATTTTATTTTAAAAGCATAAATTAAATCGGTCTTTTCTGGCCGAGAAATTAGGGGATGTCACAGAATGTATCATTTTGAATGATAAATGTGAAATTACTCTTAGTGAGAGAAACATCTTAGTTACTGATAATAAACGTCTTAATGCGAAAGATGATGTTTTGCATAATTGAATTGATGTTCTTGAAGCTAACGAAAGAATGACACATAGTTTTCGTCACCCTTGGTCCAAAGCACCAGGTCTCAGAAGCGAGTTTCCAAAACCTATTGCTCGTCCTTTGAAGGAACTTCAAAACCTAACATTCATGGGAGACATTCCGAACCATACATTTTCGGATACCCCTGTTTCATTATTGTCGTTCCTTCATGAGACTTCGGACAAATATCAATCACTGATTCCTGAATTCAAACCTATCACTATTAAATGTCCTGATTCCACACCTCTTCCACCTCTGATATCCCTGGACCTGAATCAGTCTTCAAAATCCTTACCTAATACATTCTGTAATGGAGTTCATTTTCCGAACTCTGGTCCTCCAAACAGTTGTCTTATTGACGAAATCATTCCTAAGAAAAACGGACATGACTTGAACCCATCCAATTCATTATGGGCATCTCTTGATAGTGATGTATAACTTAAGAGTGATGGTGATGTGACATCCCAAAATTTAGGTCAACGACTGTGAATGGTCAAGTTCACAGTAAATCTATTGGTAATTTGACTCATCAAGTTTTAATGCATCTTATGTGAAATAAATGACTTCATTTGAACTATTATAAGAGACTATATGGTATCTTACTTCCAAACCAAACACTCTAGCCTCATAGTACATGTTTCCTTGTTTCCGAAAATATAAAGAACGTCCAAAACAGAGTTCGTATGCAAAAGATACGACCGTTTTAAGAATCCAAAACCACTATAATACTGATTTTCTTAAAACCGCTAAAACTGTTTCTATCCGTTGAGGGATTTGCACACCTCAAATGGAAATTCCGAAAGCATTTTTGGACTCAGTTCATAGTCTATTATTAAATTTCATAAATAGAAAATTTTTGTAAAAATATTTATAAAAGTCAAAAAGCAAACGTTTTGAATCAGAAAATCGCGAAACCTTAAACTATTTATTTCGGCATGATTTCTATTAATGATAATGTATTCCGGAATCTCTAAATATTATTAAAAGAGAAACTTGATGAAATCACTTTCAACAATCAGGACCATTCATTGTATTTTCTTGATTAATTTCAACCTTAGATCGTTTTGCATTATTGTGATGATGTCATCCTAAAGAAAAACAAATCACTATTGATTGAACGCATTCCAAATTCGCTTGATTACAAAACGTCCGTGTGTAATAAACACTTTCCATGTTGAATTCGATAAATCAGCCACCTAATTAGAGATTTTTGATAAGTCAATGAGGATGATTGCAACATATTTGATTGAAATCCTTTCTGAATCGCTTCCTCAAGCTCAGCTATTACGCGATTACATCGTCTCTAGATTAGGGTTCTATATTCTTATTCATCTTTTCATTCTGATTAATCTTAACCAACAGAGCTATCGGATGATTCTAATCGTCTTCTCTCTCAAAGACTAGAACTTAATAAACAGTTGTTATATGTAGGTGCTTGAAGACGATTACAAAGATAGAATTCTGATTACTCAATCCACAAAAGAAAATAAGAAATTGAAGTTTTTGGCCCCTTGCAACTCTATCATTGATCGATTGAAGAATCAATATTGATCTTACAGGTAACATCTTTAGATTATGGATTGATCAAGCCACTCAATGCAGATTGACGACAGGTGTGTTTTTGTAAAAAGAATTGTGACACTGTGTGTTTGTTTTTTCATTTGTAAGTTCAACATTTATGAACATATTCTTGATTTTTTTTTGCGATTTTTGTACGATTTTGAGACAATTGCTGAAGATTGCATTGAAAAGTGGTTCTTTACGTCATGCCATCCTTACTTTAGGGTTTTGGTCCCCTTTCGTGGTGGAGTGTGGGTGTATTTCAAATTATGTAGAGAACCTCATAAGCGCAATATTCTTGTATGAATTTAAGATATTGACGATTTGTTATTGCAATTTAAGTTATCAATTTAGTGAATCCGTTGCTTATATTATTGTATGAATTTAAGATACTGTCACCATATGTAAAAGGGGAGGGCCCAGAAGCACGAGAAGGCCACAGTGCTGCCCTAATTGGCAAAAGACTCTTCATTTTTGGGGGATGTGGGAAGTCTTTTGACTCTCCTTTTGAAGAATATTTTGATGATTTATACATCTTGAATACAGGTGACTAGTGTTTCAATTTCAATTCAATATTGTAATGTAAATTATAAAATAACAATTTTATCCCTTGTCTTCAGAGACAATGCTATGGGAGCGAGTGGCAACCACTGGAATTCCACAGCCAAACGTAATAGCCATACTTGTGTCTCATGGAAAAACAAAATCATTGTGATTGGTGGAGAAGATACACAGAACTATTAAATGTTTGATGTCTATATGCTTGATGCAGGTTTCAATCTTGATTTTTTCTACCAATTTTTTAATGTCATGACCTAATTTCTACATTCTTGTTCATAGATACACTTACTTGGACAAAATTGGTGACCAATGGTGAGCTTTTGCCACCTAGAGCTGGGCATACAAACATTGCATTAGGCAAGAATTTGTTTGTGTTTGGAGGTTTTACTGATGCTGAAGATCTGTATAATGACTTATACATGTTTGATCTTGGTATGTAAATTGTAATGTAACAGAAGTATCAAGTTTTGTTTTTTTTTTTAAATTTTTTTTATGATATGTTATTTCTTGATATTTCCAACATTTGTGCAGAAACTTTTACATGGACTAAAGTTATGACAATAGGAGAAGGGCCTTCTGCAAGATTTTCAATGGCTGGAAGCACTTTACATCCACAACATGGAGGTGCTCTTATATTCATAGGTGGATGCAATAAGAAACTTGAAGCACTTGATGACATGTTCTACCGATTCACAGGTTTAATTTAATCAATCCTTGAAGTGAATTTCACAATGAATCAATTACCTTACATTACTGATTATATATTTATGCTAACTGATTTTGATTTTAGGGATTGTAACTGAAAACGGAAGTGATGAAAGAAATGTGGAGAAGTTATCTTTGAGAAAACAGTTGATATTGAAAAGTCAAGAACATCAAGGTTTAACTTTAACTCCAGTGTGCGATACCGATACCCAATGGCAATGCCAAGTCATATCCAATTTCCACCAAGTACGAGTTTTTTTTTGTTTTTTTTTATTTTGACTTTTTCTGATTATGTGTTGACATTTTGAATTTTTTGATTTGCAGATAGACAGAATGTGTATTTGAATAAGTATCATAATCCACAAGGGAAGAGAACATTTCAAGCAAAAGTAACAAAAAAACATTACAAATTATTATACAATTAAGACAGTTATAGATAGGAAGTCGGAGTTTTATTCTCAAACAACATCAAGAAAACAGTTGTTGATGATTTAAGAAGGTTGTAAATCTCTTTAATAAACCTATATTTGATGACTTAATAATCAAATTTGATTTTTTTTAAAAAAAAATATTAGGAAAAGAGTTGCAGTTGAGAGTGTAAAAAAGGGATTTGAGCATGATACCACAAAAAGTCCTGAACCTGAACATCATACACATGGTACAACTTCTGCTGCTTCTGATATGAAGACACCAGCAGCTTCTAATGCTTCTCCACCTCATAAGGTTATTTTTGTAATTATAATAATCATTTCTTTATTTTGTATGTTTAACATAATAAATTAATTACTCAAAGTGTATGTATGAGATATGATCTTGTTTTGTGCAAATAATATGCATGTTGCAGGAGGGGTAAAATCGTCTTTAGAAGTTAACAAATTGAATCCATCAACAGCAGCTGAAGACACTGCCAATTCAATTCCAAATCCAAACCTTGGTCATGGTATTTTACAATTTTATAATTTTATAATTTTATAATTTGTGATGTTCTTACAAGCTTAAATTAATGATGGTTGAATTTATTGCAGATGGTGAATCTCAGCCCTTGACTGGTGAAGAACATGGTCAACAAGTATGAAGTATGAATGATTCTCATTTCTTCTCATCCACAAATCCATCAAGTCTTGTTTATATAAGGTAAGGTTAGTTTAGACTTTACACACCAACCACTACTATATTCACTTTTTATGTAACTTGCAGTCAAAAGTACTAATATTTATAACTTTTTTTATGCTTATGAATAGATATCCACATCATTATAGAACTACAAATTTCTTTACGCTTTATTCATTGAGTTGAATGGTGTTGATTTATTAGTTTTAAGGGGTATATATATTTTGGGGAAAAAAATACAAAAGTTTATCATTTTTTATAAACCAGATTAATCGCATTTATTAATCAATGAGTTAAAATTGCTTAATTTCTGCAACTTGTTTCTACCTCTATTTGAGTAGCTTCTGATTTGTGGGTGATTGCTGGAGTTGTTAAAGAGTGATTGATGATGATAGTAAATAAACAAACAACTAAATCAAGTCACTAATTTGCTTGCAGACTCCATTCCATCTTTATTACAAATGGAGTAGCATCATAACATCAACAATGTAGTAGGAAGGACAGTTTATTCTTTTACTCTCTTGTGACAACAACACTTAATAAGTTTTAATTCTTTTATCCACTTCATTAGCTGTCAAACTTTTTACCAAAAATGTTATCTGTTTTTTTTTCTTTTTCATCTCAATGCTTAACTATTATAAAATTGGATTCCTTGTCACTATTAATTTTGATTTATGTAGTAGATTTTTCAGTGTCTTGAGCTCTTTTATGTTAAATTGTAAAATGCATGTGCCTATTTTACTAAACTAATTACATCAGTATATCATTTACATAAACACATATCAAAACTAGGCTATCATGTATGTAGGAGTACACAAACACATAAACCGTTAAAGAATTTGAGTTACATCAGGAATCGAGACAAAATGACTTTGAGCAATTGCTGGCAAACGATTTGCCCCTTTTTATATCTAAATCAAATGGTCACATAGATATGATGCACCGTGATGGAATACTCGAGTCCAATGTATTGTAAATGAGTGTACGTGCTTTGAAGATTCATTTATACCAAAAAATCATCATCAAAATGTGAAAAATTAATTACCCCATATGGTTGATTTGTAGTTTAATTCAAAGTGATTTGTGAATCGTTAGGATATTCGTTGAATTACGAGTTCATTAAAGAATACCCAAGTTCCAAGACAAAAGAAAATGACCTTGAATACTCTTTGTGATTTCACTTTTAACTGTGAAAATGATGATGAGACGTAAGATCTAAATTTGTACATTTTTGTTCTTTTATTTTACTCTTTATACCGTATAATTGAAGTTATTAGCAATGTTTTAAAAACCGGTTTGAAACGGCCGGTCGAACCGGTTGGACCGGGAACTGGGAGAGGGAGCGTTTCAACTATTACCGGTTTTACATTGATTTCTGAACCGGATTGAACCGGCCGGTTTTTAGAAAAACCCGGTTGAACCGGTCAAAATAAACCGGTTGAACCGGTACAGAATAAAAACACATGAAAAAGAACCATTTACATAATAAACTTTGGTATTTTTTTTCAAATCTATTTAATTTTCTCTAAATAAAAACATATGGTAAAAGGTTGTTGTGATGCTATGGGGAGTCGTAGTACTCACTAGTCAGCAGAAGGTTGTTGTGATGCTATGGGGAGCCGTAGTACGCACTAGTTAGCGAGAGGCTGTTATGAGGAAGCACTCTCGATCAGAGCATGGTACAGAAGGGTTTTAGGCTTGAATAGCCCTACGCATGAGTTTTGGGAGCCTGGTGGTTGGACCAGGGGTGAGACCGGGGTCTCTTCAATGATTGGGAATCATTATATTATGAGTAAAGTGTGGACATCACAATCCGAAGGGATTGGATAAGTGAAGTACGCATGGGTTGCAGGTCACAAGTCATGAGTTGAATGGGTCAGTGGAACGAGCGGTTCCAACTACGGGTCGGACCAAACTCTCGAGTTGAGTTGAATCCTGGTGGTGCGTTGGATAGGCGAGATGAGATTCTGGATTCTGAGGTGGGTTCCATGTTGAGGAATATTGTTTGTTATATGATGTCTTAGACCTGTGTCGGTCAGTACTTAGGTACGGGCGGTACCACAAGTTGCATGGAACGATGGGTATCAGATGATTGAGGTCGGGGTTGATTCGATCTCCAGTTGGAAAGGTAGCATTCTCTTGGGTGAAGCGAACTCCGTGACTTGTGTGTCACAGGGCCAAGATAGTTGTTGTATGGGAGGAGGTGTCGGACTCCCATTTGCTGAGGTGAGGTCGGGCAGCGTGTGATGGGTAGTACAAAGATAGTGCTTCAGACGATAGAGTAGATACAGCAGGTCAGACAGAGGTTGTTGACCGCTCAGAGTCGCCAGAAGAGTTATGCGGATAGGCGACGATCCGAGCTCGAGTTTCAGGTCGGAGATTTTGTGCTCCTGAAGGTATCTCCTTGGAAAGGAGTGATCCGCTTCAGGAAGAGGGGCAAGCTAGGGCCCCGGTATATTGGTCCGTTTAGGGTGATTGCGAGGGTAGCCAGAGTAGCATATCGATTGGAGCTACCTGCGGAGTTAGGTCAGATTCATGACACCTTCCATGTGTCTCAGTTGAGAAAATGTATAGCCGACGAGTCGGCGGTGGTACCCTTGGAGGATATTCAGGTGGATGCGAGCCTGAATTATGTTGAGAGACCGGTTGCGATTGTGGATCGAAAGATCAAGGTTCTGAGGAACAAGGAAGTGCCTCTGGTGCAGGTCCAGTGGCAACATCGGAGAGGGTCCGAGCTGACTTGGGAGCCGAAGCGAGAGATGCGTGAGCAGCATCCGGAGTTGTTTATGGAGTGAGACTTCGAGGGCGAATTCTGATTCTAGTGGGGGAGAATTGTAACATCCGGATTCCCAGGTATCTTAATTTATGTATTTATATTGAGTTTTGGAGAGGGACTCGGCGAGTAGGAGCTCAGACTCGCCGAGTAGAGTCGCGCATTGTTGGACTGATTTAGTGGCGGACTCGGCGAGTCCACGCTGTTTAATGAAACCCTAGTTCCCGGGGTTTGGGACCTATTTAAAGGCCCTTATGGCCTTCAATTGCGGCTACCAGTCCATAGAGGGAAACCCTAGAGTGCTTGAGCGTTTTGAGAGAGAAAGGAAGCCATTCTTGACCTTTGTGGTGTTGTTTAGCAAGAAGAAGGAGGTCCTAGCTAAGAGAAAGCAAGGGAGGTTGTTATTCTGAGGATTTGAAGCTAAGATCATTGCATTTGGGGTATTACTTCGGCTCTTCTTCTGTTTTATGAAGAATATATGGATTTAGGGTTTCTTGTGCCCTTGTCTAAGTTGATTTGATGTCCAAATAGTCCATTCTGGTGATGAGGCTTTAGATCTGGATCCATAGAGGTCCAGAGAGCCTTACTCATCAAGCTTTATGGAGAACAATGGAGGTCATGACCTTGGGTTAAGGTATTTGGGGCTAAATCATCATATATGGTCATATGGATGTTACATGTGCATCAAGATTGAGACTTTACGTGATTATAGTGGTTGGAAAGGCCAGATCTATGGATTAGAGGAACAGATCTGACCTCAGAAGGTCGTTTGAGTGTGAGCATGGAATGTACTCACCGAGTCCATGAGAGGACTCGACAGGTTGAGTCGGGTTGCCCCGCGACTCGCGATCTATGACGACCCGTGGAGTATAGGGTTGACTCAGTGAGTCAAAAGAGGACCAGGGGCCAAGAGGGCAGGCGTGTACTCGCCGAGTCACCTTAGTGCACTCGGCGAGTAGGGTCAACTGTGACCGTTGACTTTCGTTGACTTTTAGGGTTTCGGTCAACCGTTGGACTTTTGAGTCAAGGAGGGGTAAAATGGTCTTTTACTCTTCTGAGGGATCATAGAAGGGGGTTTAATCTAGCCTTTGAGAGCCATTACTTATTGAGGATATTTTGTATGTGATTAGGCGGGGGCTAGATCAGTAGATTCGTGTGCGAGATCATCCGAGATACCCGAGGTGAGTCTTCTCACTATACATTACCTAGAGTGGTATTTATGTGTAGACCAGAGGGTCTTGTATGCTATGTGTATGTATGAGATTATGTGCATTGTGTTATATGTATGCTATGTGTTGTATAGACCGGACCGGACCGAAGGGTCCAACGATATAGACCGGACCGAAGGGTCCAACGATATAGACCGGACCGAAGGGTCCAATGATATAGACCGGACCGAATGGTCCAACGAGCTATGACCGGACCGGAGGGTCCAACGAGCTACGGGACTGGAGGGTCCCGCTGAGACATATCGGACCGGAGGGTCGTATTGTAGCCTCGAGTGGCGTATGTGTGGCATGTGGTATATTGGGGAACTCACTAAGCTTTTATGCTTACAGTTGTTGTGTGATGTGTTTCAGGTACTAGTGAGGATCTCGGGAAGGCGACGGCATGATTCGTACACACGAGAGGGGATTTATTTATATGAGATCTTGGGACATGTTTTTGTGATGATACAGAGATTTATTATGATTTTGTGATTTTCATGTGGTTGAAAGTATGTTTCGAAATGAAAAATTGTTTTGAAAATTTACGTTGTTACAAGTTGGTATCAGAGCCTTGGTTTGAGGGATTCGAGTGCACCTTCGGGCGTATCTGAACTCAAACTGAGGATTTGAGAGATTTTCAAAATAAAATTCACAAAATTTTATTAAAGAGTAAAATGTTTTGAAAGAGCAGAGCAGAGCAGTGTGTACGATCAGCCAGCTCCCGAATGGTGATTTCCCAAAATACCCTTACCTTATGTGTTATGAGATATTATGCATGCTAGAGTAGGCTAGGTAATCATATTAGGACTAGAGTGGCCTGATTTGTGATGCCTTAGCCTAGGAATGATTTTGCTGCTATGTGATGCTTGAGAGCGAATAGGTAGCAGTGAGGAGCTGTTGAGAGGCCTACCGAAGGGTAGCCTATGCCAGTGAGATATTGTGTACTTGTGATCTGGGATCCAAGGAGGAGGACTTAGAGTGAAT